GTGAACCAGTGGGGTTTCCTCCGGATGAACTCCGTAAATTCATAAAGGAAGTTAACCTGGTGGTCTTACCTGAAGGCCCGGAGAATCCTAAAAAAGGGTTTCCATTTTTCAACAAACCCTGGTGGATTTAATATTCAGGGAATGGAGAAATCCTGAGAAACGTTCCTTTATATCCAGACACTTTAAAGATATCTTCAGACTGGTCGGAGAAGTAGTCTGTGAAGATCTCCCTAAAGTAGATGTCCAGGTGGCTCAAATTGCTAAAAAGACCACTATTCCTATAGGGGAAACTTCGGCCTTGAAAAATCCAATGGATAAAAGAGCCGAAACCTCTTGTAGGCGAGATTACCAGATGGCCGGTTTTCAATGCAAGGCTTTACTGGCGGGAGCAGCGGTTGCCAGAGCAAATGGCTTTTGGTTAAACACATTACAAGATATGTTATCTTCTGACCAAACTAAAGAAGAAATTATTAAGCAGGTGTCAGAGACTAAAAAGGCTCTTCCTCAAGATAAGAAATTCTCCTGGAGATCGGGTTACAAGAATTACCAGTATAAACACAGGAGATCCTATCAAGAGAGACCGCATTAAGGGAAAAAAATTGGAGATTTGAACAAAGAGGTGATGTTAAAAGATCCTACAGAGAAAAAGATAGACGTTTCTGACACCAGAAGTGTGGGAGGAAGACATTTTTTTCAGGCATGGGAAAGAACCACAAGCAATCCCTGGGTTCTAAGACTGATCCAGCAGGGACACAAGATTATATTTACAGGGAAACCAAGATCAAAATTTCTGGTCTCGACTTACCAGTCTTCCAAAAAATCGCAAGCCCTGTTTTCTCAAACCATGCTACTTTTGCAAAAAAGGGTTATAAAGAGAGTACCAGAAAAGATTTCGGGGAGTTTACTCAAGATTATTTTTCGTCCCATTTCGTCCCACTCTTTTCGTCCCATTTTGGATTTAAAAACCATCAACCGGTTTATCCCGTATCAAAGGTTTCGCATGGAATCAATCACTTCTATTTTTCCTCTTCTACAAAAAGGCGACTTTATGGTAAAAATAGACTTGAAGGATGCTTATCTGCATGTTCCGATTGCTACCACTTCAAGGAAATTTCTAAGATTTGCGATAAAAGGGGGAAGATCCTCCGATCATTACAGTTCAGGGCTCTGCCTTTCGGACTGTCATCCGCCCCAAGGATATTCACAAAAATCTTGACTCCTCTGACAGCTCATTTAAAGGAATTGGGAATATCGATTATCCCATATCTGGACGACTGGCTCCTCATGGCAAATACAGAAGATCAGCTGCTCAAAGACCTGCAGGTCACTATCAGATTTTTTCAAGACCACGGTTTGATCTTGAGCTTAAAGAAGTCAGTTCTCATTCCAACAAGAGAAATAGAGTTTCTCGGATTCAGAATCAATTCAGTCTCCCTGTCAATTCATCTTCCCAAACTAAAAAGGAGGAAAAATCGAGAAGTGATTACCAATCTCCAAAAGATGGAAAGTTGTTCCTTCACACAGGCCATTGGTGTGTTGGGCCTTCTAACTGCTGCTTTCCCAGCAGTCAAATGGGCAAGATCAAAGGTCAGACCTCTGCAATGGAATATTCTGACATCTTGGTCAAAAAAGGAGGAAGATTTAGACAGAAGGTTCTTGTTATCCCCTCAGGTAAAGACTCAGCTTACTTGGTGGAAAACCAAGTGCCTTTCAGGAGGATTTTCTTTCCATCCAAAAGACTGGATAATAGTCAGTACCGACGCTTCAAAGACAGGTTGGGGAGCTCATATGGGCACCATCATGTTTCAAGGATTGTGGTCAGTCAGGGAGGCGAAAGAATCCGCAAACTTCAAGGAATTACTAGCAGTTCTTTACACTCCTACATCACCTCAGGCCTTGGGTGCAACAAAAAGCAGTGAAGATTCAATCAGACAATCGTACTACAGTAGTCTCATATATCAATCACCAGGGAGGAACCAAAGTAAGGAATCTTTACATTCTTTGTGCAGAAATTATGGAGTGGTCACAAAGATATCTGGAAGACATCTCGGCAGTCCACCTAAGAGGGAGCTACAATGTAATAGCCGAAGATCTAAGCAGAGGAAAGTGGGATCAAAAAGAATGGTCTTTGAACCCTGAAATATTCAGAATCCTGGCAGAAAAATTTGGAATTCAGGAAGTAGACTTGATGGCAAGAGCATCGAACGCAAAAGTTCACAGTTTCGCCTCCCTATTCAGAGTAGATCAACCCCAATGGATAGACGCTCTATCGACAGTGGAACTTCAGTCTGGCTTACGCTTTTCCACCTCTGCCTTTAATCCCAAAGGTCCGTCTCAAGATAAGAACAGACAGAGCAAGAGTATTGGCAATAATTCCATATTGGCCAAACAGAGTCTGGTTTTTGGCTTTAAAGAAGATGACCATCGCTCATTGGGAACTTCCTCATTGTGAACAGGAACCTGCCCTTGGAAGTTCTGAAAATATTCAGGCTGACGGCTTGGCTACTGCAAGGCTAATCCTTCGTAACCAAGGTTTACAAGAAGACAGAATAGCTATCTTACTTCGCTCTACCAGGAAATCTACGTCTAAGATATACTTTAGGATTTGGTGTAAGTTTCTCCACTGGTGTAGGGAACACCAGTGCCTTGATTTACATCCATCCCTAGATAACATTCTCAATTTTTTTTACAAGACAGGTTTTCAGCTGGTCTGGGGGTTTCTACGCTCAAAGTTCAGATATCGGCCATAAGTTTTTTTTTTTCTAATTCGGGATTTGGCGTCCAATATTTTCATCAGAAGATTTTTTTTTAGGTCCATCAGCCTCAAACGTCCTCCTAGGAGATCAGTGTTTCCAGCCTGGGATTTATCCCTGGTCCTACAAGCTCTTTGTGTTCATCCCTTCGAAAGAAGTCCCATTAAGAATCTTGTCTCTTAAAGTTAGATTCATAGTATCCATCACATTGGCCAAGAGAGTGTGAGAACTTCACGCTCTGCCCTCCTCAGATAAATTTACCTAAGACAAATTGGCATAAAAATATTATGGACTGAAAGTAGGTAAGAGGTTATTGCTTAAAGAAATATATATGAAAAACAATATGTTCCATTTCTAACACCTTGTCAGTTTGTAATCTCCCTTATAGACAAAGTACAGTTTAATAAATACAACATTTCATTCTAAAGCTTGTAATATTTGCTTTTGCCCATAACAAGGGCATTCCAGATAACCAGTTTCATACAATTCTATACACCAGAGCTTCTAAGTCTAGTATCTATTTGAAGGTTTGGAATGAATTTCTCCATTGGTGCGTTCAGCATAATTGCTTTCTTCAGTTTCTGCAAGAAGGCTTTGAAAACAGAGTCCGTGTCTCTACTTTAAAGGTTCACACTACAGCCCTCAACCGATTTTTGCTACAAGAGTTTGTGACAGGTTTGCTGATTAGAGGTTTCTTCAAGTCCATTCTTCTACAAAGACCTCGGAAATGTCAATTCCCTTCCTGGGATTGATCTCTGGTGCTGCAGTCTATGTAAAGCTCCATTTGAACCACTTGAAGGTGTATCATTAAGAATTATGTCTCTCAAGACTACTTTCCTGGAAGCAATTACCTCAGCTAGGAGAATTGGGGAAATCCAAGCCCTTTCCCTCTTTATTGGAATTTACAATTTTCCATCAGGACAAGATTGTACTGCATACGAACCTCTGGTGTTTCCATCAGTCTGTAGTTTAGATCAAAAACAAAAGTGGCATAACCTGCATGTTCGAAGAGCACTTTTGATTTACTTATCCCGTTCAGAAGACTTCAGGTCCTCAGATCCAGGGTATGGGAGCATCTAAACTTACTCAGACAATTTGGTTGACACCATCAGGTTGGCTTATGAATCGCAAAACATTCATATACCTTCCATTAGAGTACACTCAACCAGAGCCATGTCCACATCATGGGCAGAAAAATCCAAAGCCTTTCCTAAAGACATCTGCAAAGCAGCACAATGGTCCTCTTTTCATACCTTAATCAAGCACCATTGGTTAGACATCTTCTAGTCCTCTGAGGCTCTTCGGCGCAAGGTGCTTCAAGCTGTAGTTTGCAGAGACCTAGCCATTTAATGTTCCAGGGATCTTGGACCAAGTTTCTGTTTTATCACTCTTTGCAATAGTTTTTTTATTCTTTATTTTGTCATGACAGGTTGCAGTTCATCAGCAATTGGCTTGTGCAAAAGTCGCATCGTAATACATTCATGGATGGTCACGCTTTACAGATGGAAACATTGTCAATACATGTTTGATGGCTTACATTGGTGACCGGTTATTTTGCTGTCTGTCAAGGTTTTATAATAGAAGATTGACCAATAAGGAGTAACATTTTAAATGAATACTTTGTACAATATTACAAGTTGTCTGTGACTACATTTTCTTGGAACCTGTAAGGGTAAGGTTTTTACCCGACCCACAGTCTGGTTATGTTGGGTTTTTCTAGTAACCCAATTGGAATTTGGTTAAGTGTAGGGGAGAGGGAGTTGGGTTTCCAGATCAAGAGTCAGGGTTTCTGGTAGGTTGTCATGGGAGGGTCAGGAGTTGGGATGTGGAAAAGAGGTTAGAAAGGGGAGGGGGTGGAGAAGTAGAGAAGAGAGAAAAATAAAGAGGGGGTGGGTTGGCAGTGAAGGACTATCCACCCCTCACAGTTGTGTTCGTTTGGGTGGGGGGGAGGGTTGTGTACTTGTGGTGTTTGAGGTGCTGGGTGTGTCGTGTCTTTAGCCTGTGTTCATTGATCCAGGGGTCCCATATTTACTGAAAGTTTTTAGTGGTATAATGTAGGATTGGCTGAGAGAGTGTCCATCTCCACAGCCTCTAACTTTATGATCACTGCCTCACATAGTGGGATAGTTTGGTTGACCCACTGTTCTGCAAAGGCTCTTCTGTGCAATAATTCTGAAGACTAAGACTTAAAGCAAATTTTGAAACCATCACCACTTTTAACAAAGTGGAACAATTACTTGAACTTATTAATCAGACATTTATAGATTGTTTATTGTATTGGGTTCAAACAGATGCTTCATTCTTAAAGTCTAACCAAACTTCTAAATTGAACAAAATTCAGTGTGACAATGTAAGATCCCCAAACATTGCTACTAAAAATGTTCCCATTTCTATAGTTTAAATAAGCTAAACTGTGGGTCAGCATTTCAAATAAGTAGGGAGGTGTTTTAGAAACAGGAGGCCTCCATTACAGTGGCTAGGATTGGGAATGAACAATCAAAGCTACAGGTTTCTATTCCTTTGGTCACAGCCTTAATCAGTTGGACCTGACCCAAACATTAAACCTTCTTGTAACCGGATGTTCGTTTAGTGTTACATGCTCAAAACAAACTTCAGATGGCCAAGGCAAAATAATTTTTATTAACAGACAGCTGAATCTTTAAAGACAATCACAGTGAAAATGCTAGTGCTGTGTTATTTGTAGTTTATAAGAGGCTATGCACTATGCAGTCTATATCTTTGTATAACTGGATCTGAATGCAAGGTTATTTACAGTTAATGAGCTTGGTAATAGATTAAAATGTGTACACTACATTTTAAAGTCATAAGTATATACACCATACACAAATACAGCTAATCACACTGCATATGTATGTATATTTACAGGGTTAGCAAGTTCCTGATCAGCGTGTAGTATGTGGGTAGCCTACATGTGTAAATATACAAATAGAAAAGTGATTAACACAATAGAGCCAGGATCAGGTGACTAAAATTAGCAAGGGTCACTGGCATAGGAAACATCAATATTGCTTCACAAGGTAAATCACTTTACTTGAACTTATCACAAAGGTCTGAGCAACTAGGTTTGTTATGGGTGAATGCACACACAAGCTTGATCCTATCCTGAATATTTAGAAGAACTCGCCAACATCTGCTCTCTTGTCACGTAGTTTGCTTCTAGCCTTTGTGCGGGCTTTGAATGCAGCAGAGTTGTTCATGTGCTAGTAAGAAAAAATAAAAATCGTTATTTATAAAAGTCACAGAACAGCACTACAGGACAAAGACGCAGTATATTTCTTCACTTTTGAAAAATAAATTTTCATTTAAACTTGTTTAGTTTTTAAAACCTCTGTATGGAAAATTGTTCTCGGCAGACTAGACTTTATTATACAAATAGCGATATGTTTTTTCCAGGCAGCAAAACTGCAAATTCAGCAGCTACTGAACAAGTGCAAGTAGACAGATAAGATGGATAAGTCACCTTGGCTTTAGTTTACAAAAGCCAATTATTTCAGGTTCTGAAGACCCTGTTTAAAAATTTTTTAAAGAGAAGTCTTTGAAATGGTATAGTAATATTTAGGGTAAATAAAGGAAACCAGGTAGATATTGATTCTACAGAGCCATCTGAAATGGGATGGCATAATTTAAGATGTTACAGAATGTATTAAAAGTGGTTCATACAATTGGGTCAGATTAGTTGATATGGTTATGCCTAGGTATTTGATATATTAACCCATGTGAATGGGCATGAGTGTTGGTGGCACCTGTGTTGTGCCTTTTTAGTAGGTATGGGTGACTAACTGCCCATTGAAACATTCTAGCACTAGGGGGATGAGTATAGAGCTTCAATCCAGTTCATCCACAGTATTGTAACATGGTAAATAGAGAAAATTCCATCATATCCAATGCCTTCTCTGAATGGGAAAGAATACAGTCGAAGTTCCTGATGCTTTGCATGTATAAGATTGTGAACCATGGTGGTATTTCCTTTCTCTCCCTGGAACAAATACCACTTGATCAGGGTGAACCGGTTCCATGAGTGGCATAAGGTCGCAGGCTAGGATTTTTGAAAACCATTTCATATCAAATTTAGGATTGTTTAGTTACATTTAAAAATCGGGATTCTTAAAGGACCACTCTAGGCACCCAGACCACTTCAGCTTAATGAAGTTGTCTGGGTGCCAGGTCCAGCTAGGGTTAACCCATTTTTTAATAAACATAGCAGTTTCAGAGAAACTGCTATGTTTATGAATGGGTTAAGCCTTCCCCCTAATCCTCTAGTGGCTGTCTCATTGACAGCCACTAGAGGAGCTTGCGTGCTTCTCACTGATTTTCACAGTGAGAGCACGCCAGCGTCCATAGGAAAGCATTGTAAATGCTTTCCTATGCGACCTGCTGAATGCGTGCGCAGCTCTTGCTGCGCGTGCGCATTCAGTCGGCGGGGAGGAACGGAGGAGGAGAGCTCTCCGCCCAGCACTGGAAAAAGGTAAGTTTTAACCCCTTTCCCCTTTCCAGAGCCGGGCGGGAGGGGGTCCCTGAGGGTGGGGGCACCCTCAGGGCACTATAGTGCCAGGAAAACGAGTGTTTTCCTGGCACTATAGTGGTCCTTTAAGAGGCTTTAACGCCATATAGGATTCACAGATCTCATACTAGTTGACTGCCAGGATCTATATAACTTACCCTTTCATCACGAGAAATTTTCATCTCCTCCATAGCAGCTTTATCCAAGAGCAAAGGAGGACCAAGTTCAAAAATACTGCGCAAGAACACATTTGTCTAAAGAGAAAATTATATATAGTCCATATCAATGACATTTGAACAGTAAAGTCATGTTCAGACATTTAACACATTTTAGTTTGCTCTCAGGTTGTGCAATCTGACTGTTCTAGTTCTGTTAGACAGGTTTACATCTTGTTATAAAATGGGCCCTTCGCATTTCAATAGAGTTTATTAAAGTATACGGAAGAAGGTCTAGATATTTGCTAGGATGGAAAGTTACTTCAATGTACGTAACCCTGCAGCACACAGTTTCAAATCAGGACTAAAAGATCTGCTGACTATTATGAGGTCTTAAAGAAACCAGAAAAGCACAGAAAGGCTGCAGGAATTGATACTTTAATGGCCATATCATTTGTCCTTACCAGAAGATGATATTGCATGCCAGATCCAAACAGCTCTTTGAATATGCTATATGTAAGCCTCTTCACCCAGCTGTCAATATGCATTCGCTCTCTTCCAAACCGAATTGATTCTGACGAAAAGTCACCTTCCTGTTAAAAAAAAAAAATGCTCTGTCAAGTCCAGATGTGATATTTAACACTTGTTGCAAAACTAAGCTGTTGAGGCAAATGCTGAGGCATGGTCAGACCCCTCACTAGCTTCACCGTTTTCCCATATCTATAGGGAACGTTTCTGCAGGGAGGACAGTTCTAGATAGTTTTGCAAAGTGCTTTGAAATCTAGATGCTTCCTTTCAGATTAGGTTCCTTACAATCATTTGTTTTTATACATTTGAAACTAGGACAAACTAGTTCTCAGAAGTCTAATTTTTAAACCAGTGTAATGCAAGAAATTAAATAGTAAAATTTTACACAATTTCAATCTTTTCCCAGAAGCAAAGATTATATGCAAAATCCCTTTTGATTAAAGGCTAGACTATATGCAGGCCATGTTTTAGGTTTTATTTTATTTTTTATTTTTATTTAGAAACAAGAAATTTGACAATTTATACAAGTAGTTATATTTTGAAACCGGGATAAAATAAAATCGTTACACTACCTCAACTGCTTTGAGGACATCGCGAAAGACAGATCTTTGCTTCCTTCTGTCTACTTTTGCCCGATGTTTATTGCAGTCTGTTGCAAGAGCTTTCAGTGTTTGAGTAAGAGGCTCCAAATCTTCATAAAAAAAGTCCTAGACAATTGAAAAAAGTTAGTCCTGCGCTCCATTTTGAATGCACATGTGTAAATACTAAGGGTAAGAGCACAACCACCACTAGAGTATCCAGGGCTCTGGATTAAAGTTTGACCCAACAGACTATAGCATTTCAAGTTCTTTATCAAATCACTATTTTCAGAACAGTTTCAAAACCAAGAGGAGAGGTCAAGGAACCATAGATACTACATGCAAACACTGGCATTACAGTACTATTAGGCTCCAGGTGGTGTCCTTTGGTTGTTAAAAGGATTTTAGCAGTTTGACCAAAACCAGGTAACCAAAGGCAGCCACAAAATTGCAAACTTGGAAGTTCCACATGCGCACTAGCCAAATCAATTTCTTCCATATTTTCAACACCATTTATTTGGCTGAGCCATCAGTTGATGCATTCCGCCAACGAATTCTGTCCAAATATGGGTTAGATAAATTGATATTACCAATGTGGATCAACCTGGGTACTTCAGAGTTTTGGGTCAAACTGAAAACAGTTTAACAATTGGAGATAGCGTTCAGCATTGAAGCGCTATCAGCATGTAGCAGTTATAGTGCCTAGACTACTCCTTTAATTAAATGTGCACTCATGATCTGTGAGAAGCACTGAAACATCTGGAAAATATGCAAAGTGATAAACCCAAACATTTCTGATTGCTGGATGACCACACGTCTCCGTATTCAGAAACCATCCCACACATCTTTCCCACAGGCGCTGTCCATCTGGGCCAATGTGGATGTGTTACATGGAGCTCATAATTAGGAAAACAGGTCACCATGAGAACTGTTCAAGAATGCAAACGGCAAAAAGGTTAGCCAGTTTTCATGAAAACACTGTACCATCAAGAATAAGGCACTTCCTGCAACAAAGAAAAATAATCTGAGAAAAACACTTTAAAGTTATGATAAACACACCAAGATAAAAACTGAGAAAACATGTGCCAGTCTTCAAACCAAAAGCCCCGTACAATACAACAACAACAAAGTTTTCAGTGACAGACCGGGATCAAAGTTTCCAGCGTTTATATCCAGCCCCCCATGAGGGGAAATTTATGGGTGGGAAGGGTAGCCTGGACCACCAGCTTAGGGATTGGTAGAGGCACTTTCAGTTTTAAGTCACCAGCCCTCTCCCAACTCCAGCACCATGCAGAGAGTACATCAAATGCTGCAACAGTATGCATAGCCCACCTCAGAGGAGAGAGGAATCACAAGTCCTTGTCTCCACCATACATATAGATATGAAGTAAACTTGATACATGTTTTCTGTAATAAAGGTTTTAAAAATCAGAAGTTATGCTACAGGGGTGCTTCTTCCTTTGCAGTTAATTTGTCCATTACCAGAGATCACACAGGAGGCAGTGGTGGGTAATTTAGCACAAACCTCAAAGTTTATGAATGTAACAAACTTCTAAGACATGACCATGTGAATGCAACATCCCACTTTGTGGTATTAAAGTTTTATAAAAAGGAATATTGGAGAATAGCTGGTATTATGAAAGTCAATTCTTATGCCATTTGCAGCATGTATTTTGTAAATTTATATTTATCTATTTTGTATACATGTTTAGAGGACTGTATTAGTTTACATTCACAGCAATATTTGGTGTAACCAAGGTGACATTGTTTTCCTGTGCCCCAGCTCATTTAACTGCATGCTTTTTTTGAAAACCAAAGTTTAAAAAAAAAGAAAGCCAAGTGTTTCGGAAAGTCACATTAATACCACATGCACGACAATACATTCAATGTTTAAAAACTAACCACACTAGTTTCTTTCAGTCACTAGCAAAGTGGTCCTCTTAATACACTTCTGGTAAAAAATTTAGCTGCTCTCATTCAGGTGGTATGGCATGTTTTAAAGGTAGCTTTAAAGGGACACTAAAATGTAAAAGTCCCATTGAAGTAATTATATAAATATTTAGGAGTCCCCTGGCACGCTCTTTATTCAGCATTAAACAGTTTTTCAATGTAATCTTAGATGAGAGTCCTCAGCAGCCCTTACCCTCTGTGCTGTGTGGTGAAATAAGGAAGTATTAGCATAGGCAACTGAGCTGACAGCTTTCAGCCCATCACAGTGCCAACTCCGAGCAAGTGCCTGGGGCCTCCAGGCACTAACCAATTTAATGATATTAAATAGTTATAGCGCCTACAGTGTCCCTTTAAGCTGCCAAGAGTATATTCGATAATTGTTATTTTGGCAAACCATCTACAAATTCCACTTTAGACATTAGACATTAACAGCTATGTAGCTCAGAAGACTATAAAAGCAGAGTAGGAAATGCAAAATTAAGCTAAAGCATAAATTACATATGTGACTCCCAGTAACTCAAGATAAATGTTTGAGTATTTAACTGTAGATCAGTGCCACTACAGTTTACTTTATACACAGATTTATAAAATAGCGCTAGTCTGACCAATAACCCTGGTCAATACATGCCAATAGATAAAGTACTTACTGCATCTGCTTCCCGTGCCAGCTCAAACAAGAGCGCCAGAGTCTCCCCAGCTGCAATCCTCATGTTCACATCATCACAAGATAACAGCCTTGGTAGTTTGTTCAGATGTCTGTTAAGAGTGAAACAGATTCATCAGCATGCAGAACATTAAAATAAGACATTAAAAGTGTGAAGTATGACTTTTCAACAAGTTAAAGGCTTTCCTGGTGTAACTATCCCCCAAAAATAATCCATATTAAGTAAATCGATCAAGCAATAAGAATGAGTTTAGGTAAAACCATGAGAAGGAAATGGCAGTGCATCAGGTAGCAGCAGTTGTGGATTAGTCATATGTTAGTTTCTATAACCCCTTTATAAGCATTCTATTGAAGGTCATGGTGCAGCATCAATTCAGCATTGCAAGAAGCAGTTTACTTACATATCTAGTTTCTTCTTTACTTCACTGGTATGGCAGATAGTCAGCAACAGAGCCCACGATTGGAGAGCCTGGATGTGAAGTGCTGAACATTTATCAGCTCCATTTTCGGAATGATATTGCTTGGTGAAGACATTCTCCATGCATTCCATCGCGGAGTACAAATCCTGAAAGTCATAATTCACACTTACTACAAGAACCCAACAGCAAGGACTTCCCTCCCTACATATAATACAGCTCCATTCTTACCTCAATATCATCACTGGCAATAAAGCAGCAGAGACCCAGATAGGTTGCACACTGTTGGAGGGGGGAAGAAAAGTTAAGTTGACTTACAGTATTTTAAATTTTGCTAAAATAGAAGTGAACACACGTTAAGCATTTCAAAGTTTAAAGCGGCACAGTCACCCCATTAGAGGCCTTTGCAAAGACCCAGCGATGACATCTCTGCAGGAGGGTGGATTTACCTGTACTGGTCCTTTGTGGGTGGCAGTGAAGTATAAAACATTTAGCAGAAACCTTCCAATTCTAATTGGATACAAGGCAGTAATATGGAATGGTTGATCCAGAGCATTACTTACAGCTTGGCGTGCCTGGGTGTTTGCACTTCTGTCACAAATTATTGTTCTTAGAATTGGTGCCAGAGATCGGAAAACCTCCTCGCATTCAATTCCTGCGCCAAGCTGACAACATAGAAGGCAAGCCAGAGATGCAGCCACGCACTGCTCTTCACTTTTACCTGGAAACAGACACATGCAGGTTATTCTTCCACATAAAGAGTGTAGTAAAAGCAACCATTACTTTTCCAATGGCAACACTAAACAAAAACATCCAATTCTTCCAGTGTCATGTATTTCCCACTGTCCAGGTCCCAATATTCTGTAATGCAGGAGTGCCGTTTGAAGATGTTCTCCATAAGGAACTGGCACAAAGCAGTGTAAATGAATACATGTGCTCCTAGTTAACTTTACCTAGAGAGCCATGGAGTATGACTTAAGGAGCTGCAAGTTATGTTTTTGTGGGAGACGCCACTTGCACTCAATTTCTCCCTTGAGGACCAGGTTAAATCTAGATCTTGTCATACCTCCTTAGTCCACAAAGGATTCAACACGTAGACTGTTCATAAATGATCACTTCATTTTACCTTTATACTCTACTTAAGTTATGCCATTAAATTATGTAGGCTTAACGCTGCCATATTACAGGCAGGCAAAAAAGTCTATAACCAAGGATATTTAATAGGATGCAGTAAATTGGTTAAAATCTTACCTTTTTTCAAGCAACGCTCAATGCTATCAGTTAGTGTTATTCTTCGTTCTAGAATAAAGTCACTTAACAACTTGGATGACATCCCAGCCTTCAATCCTTCAAGTGCAGCTTGTCTTGTCTTTGCACTATAAGAAGTGGAAGAAAATTTGCAGTGTTTATTGCTGGTCTCATAGTAGGGCATTTGTGTATGGCTAAAGAATATTGCTCTTACAAAAAATAAAGGAAAAGAAAAAAATGTAATCAGATTATTTGGTCACAAAGAATCTAAATCCTGAAGGTCTTGGCAAGTGTCTCTAATCAAATAGCACCAATTCACCTCTAAAACTGGATATAAACTTAAATATGAATCTATTGCAATTTAAAATCATTTATAAGTTACAGTGTTCTAAAAGAAGGAATGCCACGGTTTGTCTCAAGTAAATCCCAATGAAACTGACCTGAACAAGCAATTTATAAGTCTAGATTAGTGTAGTTTCTAAACCTTCATTCTAAGAATTATAATCAAAGTCAAGTAAAAAAAGGAAGTAATGGATGCAGTCGAGATTCCATGACAACACTGAACAAGTGTGAACCTTCAATAAAGTTCCCAACCACTTCATTAATAGGATGGAAGTTTCTAAACAGGATTTCTTCATTGTGGATGGAAATCAACATGTTTAAAAACCAACGATTCCAACTAAAGTTCATAAATGTAGCTGGAAAATTCTTTAAATATGCAGCTACATGAAAACTGAAAGGTGTTCTTGTAGGGTTTCTACAGATGAAGCAGACGTCATACCTCTTGTCTGTTGTGAGTTCAATTAGTCCTTTCATTTTGTATTCAAAGTCTTCCTGAGTTGCTTCTTCATCAACCTCTCCACCTACAGGAGAAAGGGTACAGATATGGTAAAAAAATAAAAAATGGAAACCAAGGAATTTTTTTCCTTTCCCCTTACAATTATTTTTAGACATACCATCTTCAGCAACGCTGGCCACATCGCTGAAACTACTACAGCGACTCATTGTTTCAATTGAGGATTCCTCATCACTAAACGGCTGTACATTTTTGGACCGGCCACCTAAAATTAAAATAGAAAATTCAAAACAAAACCCAAAGCACTAGAATTTGATATGATAAAAGTTAGTCCCTTTACATAACAAGGACAAAAGGTTTTCAATGGCATCAAGCTGCAGACTTCAGTATGTTTAGGCTAACAACCATAAGTATCAGACAGCTTAAAGTGAAACTTGCTTCCTAGCATTTTAACACATTTATTAGCTACATGTAACAAGTTTGTGAGATGTGAAAAATAAAAATAAAAACTCCACCCCGCAGCTGGGTGCTGCCATTTTAGCTTCCTGTCAATTGTTAAATAGTATTGTCCTTTGCAGCTGGCAGTCAGCAAAAAAGTTTCTATTTCTCCCCATTTTAATGTCTGCCCTGGCTGTGCCAGGATGGAACTAGTTTGTGAGGTTATTTGCTAAATCTTTAGCATTACAGGATACGGATTTACACAAGTTGTGTGATTTTCAATAATCACACAGGTGCCTAAAAGTTAAACTACAACTCCCATGATCCTTGTTCATTCTAAGAGCATGCAAAGCATCATGGTACTCTTAGATCTACAAGATCTGGGGATTACCTTTTGGGCACCTCTAGTCTACATTGAAGAGAAGGAACTTTCACACACACTGAATTGCAGATACATTCACTACTCTACTATAAAGATGAAGATTGAAACAAATGTTAGTTTAAACTTTATCAAATCAGCAACCATGACAGCATAAAATTAAAAGCCAAGCCATATAGTAATTGGCATTGATGGAAACAACCGGCGCACCAACAGCTCAACTGTTTTACCAAACTTGTTCCCATATTAGCTGTAATTTGTGGTCCAAATGCAAAGAAACTATTCTAAGAACCGGTTGAAATGACAAAGTGTCTCCATTTGATCACCAAGCCATCACAAGGTACAAGCATGTTGGAAAGTGGAACACACAATTATGAAAAAGAAAATATTCAGTCAACTGGTCAGTACGACTTTAGCCTTCAATTATCTGAGAACTAAAGCTGCAAGAACACAATTTGTTCCACATCCTGAAAATCTCCTGATTTGTGCAAACATGAAAGTGTGTGTTTTAATTCTACAAATACATTCCAACCAACTGGATTTTTTAAATCATGGCAAGCTCTAGCATGACCATTCCCATGTCCAACGATCGGACAATAGACAGGTTTCCATTTACAGTCTCTGCAGAAACAGCTGACCCTGGGATATTTAGACGAGGATAGCATCTTTGAATAATTAAACCATAGGCAAGAACAATGCAAGCAATACACTTAGTTCGAATTCCCGGTTTACCTGTAAAACTGGAATGTAGTCTAGATTTCAGTATATATTGGAGTCAACAAATGCTCCTCAAGTCTTTGCACATGTTCATTAAATAGCCGATAGTGTTAGTTGCTGATTTGCATCACCCCTTAGCATTATCAGTTGTCATGCAGTATTGTAATGAGCAGGAAGCACAGAGATAATGGCAAGCTAAGGTCATTTTAGCACATATCTACATGTGCACGCCCTACACAGTATTCAACTAGTAAAAACAGTAACATGTTCAGAGGTTTCTCAACATTCACATTTAGTTAAAAATTTAGCTGCCTACAGTCTGACACCACCATATAGGGGCTAGTTTATTCTTATAAAGGCCCATCTATTGACTACATTAGGACTGACCATCTTAAACGGGAATGTACTACAGCCTCCGGCCATTTTGTTACAGTCCATCATTAACACAGTACTACATATGTAATTAGTATCTTAAGGAATACATCTATTGTGGCCCATAGAAAACAGCAGAATTCGAATCCATCAGCAATTCCAACTATTGCCAAGTCACTGTAAATTCTACCTAGTATTGCGTTTACCTTCACAACACCCCTACAAGAACTCTGTATTTCATACAGGTACAAGATTTGCATGAATCCAACAAACGTTCCTAGATTCTTATTATTGGTTGGGTTACTTGCAAAATATGACATTTAACAAAATCAAGAAAACAGTTGAAAAAAAGCTGCATTATGATAAATATATCAAATTTAAAAGGAGTCATTAGTCCACGTTTATGGTATAAAGGGTGTTTAGGTTTGAAGTCAAAGTGTTTTGCATAGGAGTTGTTTGCGGACTAAGTGTACACACTAATCCAGGGTAAGGCGGCAAACGCACTCAATATGCTGTAGTCAGTCATTAAACCGGTCATCTGAAAAATCTCAATACGTTTCTGAATGTAGTAAAGTCATGTTATCCGAATAATTATACACAGTTTCTCCTTAAAAACAAACTAGGTACAAAAAAAGCAAGCTAGTAACCTGTTAAAGAATTCTCTCTTTTCACATGTTTTATTGAAAGTTTTAAATATGATAAAACAAAAACGAGGAAAAGGGGTAAACATACAAGTACTATTAATGATCCAATACTATTTAAAAATGGGAAATTATTTAAAGAAATTGTACAATAAGTACAACTTTACCATTGGTAGAGCCTTATTTACTTATTAAGCAACCTTAATATTGGTAATTACAAATTGGTATGAATATGGTTGTAAAATTTGAATTACAAAGCAAGAAGAGTTACCTTATCAGTTCCTGGCTATTACAGTATTGGTTATTTAAAAAACCTTAGTGGATGGCCAATCCAAAAACTGGTCTTAAAAATTTGTTATTTCACGTTGCACTGCATTAAGAACAGCATAATCTTTAGGTATCCTTAATGAGACCCACCAAGCATTTAAACAGCTGAGTAACGTTTAATTATTGCATACTCACATAGAGTTCATTCCATTAAAGAGCTAGCTTCTGTCATCAACTATGAACACAAGAACTATGACAGGCACATCAGCTGTTAGCACCAAGCCCCTTTATCTCATCCAGTCAAAGAGCATGAGTAAGCACAGACTAATGATTCGCAAGAATCTATACCGCTGCCTTAAAGGGACACCAAGCATAAACACGACAACATTACATTGGTTATGGTGCTAACAGGCAGCTATCATTATACCTGGTTCAACATCAACTGTTTAGAAAGTGGTTATTGCCCTTTGAGTATGTTTTAAAACATGATTTGCATTATGAGACAGCATCCAATACCTGTAATATCAGCACTGGTTCAAGTAATATAGTTAAAAAACACTGTTTATGTAGATGTGTTTTTCACTGCATCCCATAATAAATAGAAGCCCTTAAGAAGGGGCTTCTACACTATAGGCACCCAGACCGCTTCATCTCATTAAAGTGGTCTGGGTGCACCGTCAGTCCCCTTAGTCCAGCCATGTAAAACATTGTAGTTTTACAGAATCAGTGAATCATTGCAGGACTAAGATTGCCTTTAGTAGCAGTCTAGCACTAGCCACTAAAGGTGCTTCCTGGAGGGTCACAGAGTTTGACTCTGAAGCAACACTTTATGTGCTTACGCTCTGCAAACCAGTCAGCTAATTTTCCTCAGACAATTGTCAGCCCTGCCCCACCCATGTAAGAGTAGTAACCTAAACAAAGCAAGAAACACCAACATTACAGACACCTCTATTTAACGTTCTAGTGTTTCTTTGATGGATGTAAAATAAATGTAGACCTATGTACAGATGTCAATGAAAACACACTATAGTGACCAGAACAACTACAACTTAATGAAGTTATAGCGTCTATTGCATGCCACTGCAGGCGTTTTAATGTAAACACTACCCTTTCAGAGAAAAGCAGTGCTTGGAGACACTAAACATTCCCCATAGAGTTGTACTGATTCAATGCATCTTTATGAGGAGATGCCGATTGGCCAGTGCGGTGCTTAGCTGCACATGCACAAAAGCATGTATTGACCGAGAGCCAATTTTGATGATCTCAGCCAAGCAGGCAGATTGGGGCAGACCCACGTGGCACTGTAATAAAGGTGAATAAACTCACCATTTAAATTAGACAGGCGGGCTGAGGGCCCACAGTTATATTACAGCTATAGTGACAGGAACACATTTTCCTTCATTATTGTGTTCCTTTAAATTATGACAATCACTCAATACATACTTATGACAAGCTTTTATGTCTGACTTGATGCACAAAAGTTTATGGGATTCAGGAAATTTTAACAGTTTTTGCCTAGTGAAGGATCTAGCTCAATATATTTTATTACCCACGTCACAAGTAACTTATAAACACACGCACTTTTAGAGTTTACCCCAAAGTAAAAATTTTATAGAATTCTAATGGAGTTACCAGTTTAAAGCCAATACACTGAGTTGCAAATATTCACCAACATCACTACTTCAGCAATTCTGTTATTTTGGCCTCCAACATCCTATATTGGGCCTTGTAAATATTGCACATAATTCCCAGTTTAGTAAATAAACTGGATGGGTCAGGCTTCCCCAAACTCTGGCTCTCCAGATGTTGCTGAACTACAACACCCATGATTCTCAGCCTATCTATTTCATTCATAGAGTCATGGGAGTTGTAGTTCAGCAACATCTGGAGGGCTGGAGTTTGGGGAATCCTTGAGGGTCCCAATTACTTGTGAAATTAATTGCATTTCAAACCCTACTGATAATAGTTTTAACCTGCTAAAGAAAGGAGGAGATAAGCAAGACTAACATGATTTCTCAATGCAGCCAAGCACACAAAAGCAAAGATTAAGTGAACAAAGTAGAAAATAGGATTAAAAAACCTAACTGATTAGAGATGCTGCTTCAGAGATAAGTAATGAATATTATATATTAGCCCCATGTAAAGACATGACACATAAGGACAAGATACTATTAGGACGATTTACACCTTATAGTAAAATAATGCCATCATGTAAACATTAAAAAAAATCCACTAGTGTGTTCAGAATACAAAGTTGTATTCGTAACTCCACTGTTTCTCTGCCGCCCACCCCCTTTACGGCCATGTAAAGAGATTATATAAAGCATAAAAACTTTCCTGACCTTGTCTATTCCATAGTGGTTTGAGATGCAGCTTTTTTTAGCTGGGTTAGGTCCTACCTATCCAGTCACCCAACTTTGAATTCCCCTGGTAAATCTATATTCTTTCCCATGACTTCTTGAATGTGTGACAAAGTTGTATTCCTAGCATTATAGTAGCCACTCTCCCTAAGCTGAGAAAGGGCTAAAGACAGTTATGTCACTTCTTGATTTAAAGGACCACTCTAGGCACTCAGACCACTTCAGCTTAATGAAGTGGTCTGGGTGCCAGGTCCAGCTAGGGTTAACCCATTTTTTAATAAACAGCAGTTTCAGAGAAAAACTGCTATGTTCATGAATGGGTTAAGCCTTCCCCCATTCCCTCTAGCGGCTGTCTCATTGACAGCCGCTAGAGGCGCTTGCGTGCTTCTCACTGTGATTTTCACAGTGAGAGCACGCCAGCGTCCATAGGAAAGCATTATGAATGCTTTCCTATGTGACTGGCTGAATGCGCACGCAGCTCTTGCCGCGCGTGCGCATTCAGCCGACGGGGCAGATCGGAGGAGGAGAGCTCTCCGCCCAGCGCTGGAAAAAGGTAAGTTTAAACCCCTTTCCCCCTTCCAGAGCCGGGCGGGAGGGGGACCCTGAGACTGGGGGCACTATAGTGCCAGGAAAACGAGTATGTTTTCCTGGCACTATAGTGGTCCTTTAAGTGCCGATGTCCCCTGGCAATGGGTTATGCTCCGCCTGTCAGGCAGCGGAGGTGACCCAATGACCATGTTCAGCTATTGCATTAGGCCTTTCCTATAGAAAAACATTGAATAAATGCTTCCCTAAGGAGTTTTCAACACGCTGGATATCTTCAGACAGAATGTGACGACATTCAGTGCTGTTTCACGATGTCAAACTACATGAAACTGCAGGAAGTGCCTCTAGTGGCTGTCTGCTAGACACTGCAATGTAAACGTTTAGTTAATCTAAGACTTCAATGAGATGAAGTGGTCTGGGTGCAAATAGTGTCCCTTTAAATTTGATTTGGGATGGTGATAATATTTGCCTCTGAAAAAGTATATTTACATACACTGAATCTAAAACATTTAGACGATATGCAGAGATTTAAAAGTCGCAGGACATTTACAACACAGCTGGATGCATTGTTTAGGTCTTGTTTTGTTTATTTACACTTGCAAGTATGGATCACTCAATTTTTATTGATTCTGGACCTCCACATATTGCTTAACTACAACTCCCTTGATTCTCTGGCCATTTCATTCAAATAATCAAGGGAGGTTTAGTACTGAAAAAAACTAGAGTTCCCGCATAACTTCTAGGGTGAGATTCTATTCTGACAAGTAACCTACATAGATAAATATTGCATGCATCAGCCCCCTATAAAGCCACCAAGCGCCCCATTAAAAAAAAAATCTCCCAAAGTAGACATCCTGGTGAAGGGCATAACCATAACTTATATGGAATAGAATAAAAAAAATACTAAGGAAAACAGTCAAATCCTTTACAAATCAAATGGATTTTAAAGGGTTCTCACTGCTTTCCTCTTTATTGGGGGATTTTTCTATTTTAAACGTCCTGTTTCTCTGCACAAGTATGAGGAGGTGAAGAACATGTTTCAAAGCTCTGGGCAGCAGAACCACTACAGCTAATGATGCTGTGGCAAAAAAGTCTGTCCTTGCAAGTCAAGGAGTGTTTATAATGCTGCCTAACCTGGGATTTGACAGCACACTTTTTTTAAACTTTTCCAAGCTACTGCTCTGTAAGTGACACAGGCACTGGAAACATTCATGTTCATAAATATCGTAAAACGCTACGGAATCTGTTGGCGCTATACAAATGGCAATAAAATCTGATATAATGCCTGGAGTCCCCTGGCACAATTCTTTTATTCGTGATTAAAAAGGATTTTCAACAGAAATCCAAAACGTTTACACAAAGTCATTAGTTACAAAAGACTTAACTGGCAAATTAGCACAACAATCTATAGAGAAGGAAGTAGAAATCAAAATTGCACAAGCACATGAAATGTATTTCTTAATTTTATTTTTTTTTTAAAAAGTCCATGCCCTGCTACCCACACATCCCAAAAAACATCTGTAATCCGATGCAGATGTCAAAATAAGCATGTTTAGTTTTTTTTTTTTTAATTTATATAATAGCTGCAACCCACCCACAGATTTTTAATTCCCACATTTTAAAAGCCATAGATGGCGAACCTTGGCATCCTCAGGGTTGATGTCCTTAATAGCTATGTGGATGTTTCCAGTAACTAGTACAATGCTCTATAAATAACTAGTGTGGCCAGTGTCTTAGTACATGTCTCAGTATCAGTGAGTCAGAGCTGGGTATGATGGGGAATGGAGCTGGATGTGCCAAGGTTATCATCCATGGTGGACTAATGGAGAAGTGCTATACAGGGCCTGTATTAAAGGGCCCAGCCATGGCACACAGACCAACACTCCACGTCAGCACCAGGACAGCAGCCCGAGCCAGGCATGTTCCCTTTAAAACCTACAATCCCCATGGCACCTGCCTGATCCCCACCCCCAGCCAGGCATGTTCCCTTTAAATCCCACAATCCCCCGTGACTCCTGCCTGATCCCTACCCCCAGCCAGGCACGGTCCCTTTAAACCCCACAATCCCCCCATGGCTCCTGCCTGATCCCCACCCCCAGCCAGGCACGTTCCCTTTAAACCCCACAATCCCCCCATAGCTCCTGCCTGATCCCCCCAGCCAGGCATGGTCCCTTTAAACCCCCCATGGCTCCTGCCTGATCCCCACCCCCAGCCAGGCACGTTCCCTTTAAACCCCACAATCCCCCATAGCTCCTGCCTGATCCCCCAGCCAGGCATGGTCCCTTTAAACCCCCATGGCTCCTGCCTGATTCCCCCAGCCAGGCATGGTCCCTTTAAACCCCACAATCCCCATAGCTCCTGCCTGATTTCCTCCCCCCCCCCATGGCTCCTGCCTGATCCCCACCCCCACCCAGGCATGGTCCCTTTAAACCCCACAATCCCCCCCATAGCTCCTGCCTGATTCCCCCCAGCCAGGCATGGTCCCTTTAAACCCCCCAATCCACCCATAGCTCCTGCCTGATCCCCCTGGGGGGCTGTAACGGGCACCAATAAGGAGCAGCTCATACATGGAGCCACGCTGGCCTTATCAGTAGCCAAACCCCCGGCTACTAGCCACAGCTCCCTCACACACGCCCGAATGCCGGTAAAGACCGGCTGGCCGGCGCGCACAGGCTCACGGGACTTGTAGTTCCGCCCAGAGAGCGCGGGCCACGTAAGCCTCCCCACAGCATGGCGCTGCTGGACTACAACTCCCGGCAGCCCCCGCGCCCCCTGCAAACACCGCAATCAGGCCTTTCCCCCCTCACTCACCGGCGGCGCGGCCGCTCCTCTTCTTGGATTTCGGCATGTGTCTCGCCCCGCTGTCCCGGTGTGTGAGTCTGTGGGCCTCGGGCTCAGCAATAATCAGCCGATGGACGAACGCTTTTTACTAAAGCGCCTCTCAGGGATGAGCTCGGAGTGTCCTATCGGCAGGGCTGCGGCACGTTTGAACGCGGAGAAGGCGAGCGAATCTGCGGTGACTGGCTGTGAATCGGGACGACACATTTTACCTCTGAGAAACCTCGGGATTGATCGCAGCGCGCCGCGGCTCGAGCATATATATACCGCCAGCCCGCCGTGACGTCACCTGGGGGGCGGGGCTCCCGATCCGACCAATCGGAGACAGGCACCGAATCGGCCATCTTGTGTTTGGGAAACTTGCCCACACAACAGTCAGGGTGGGAAATAAAATAGGGGCCATTCAAACAAAGTGAACTTTACATTCAGAATTTTTTTTTTTTATTATTATTATTTATTTATTTTCCTCTTTCTTTTCCAGTTTTGCTATTTTGGCTTTAAAATTCACCTTTTGAATGAATAACCGTAAAACAGAATTTTTTTATTATTATTATTTATTTATTTTCCTCTTTCTTTTCGAGTTTTGCTATTTTGGCTTTACATTTTAAATTCACCTTTTGAATGAATATCCCTAAAACATTTTAGGCTTGGAGCTCTACAAATAGATAAACATAGCAGGACAATGTTTCCAATGTTGGCCTATATTCTGTACCGGGAAAGTCACCTTGAATACTCTAACAGGGTTATTTACTAAAATTAGAATTCAAAGTGACTTAACCCCTTAAGGACACATGGCATGCGTGACATGTCATAATTCCCTTTTATTCCAGAAGTTTGGTCCTTAAGGGGTTAAACCATTTAAGGCCACGGTAAAAACATGGCTGACTTTAGAGAATTTTTGGAAATTTGACTATTTTGACCATCACCTTGAAATTCCGTTTGAATTCACCTTGAAGTCTTACATTAATGAATAACTCTGTAAAATGAATACTTATAGGACAACCCTGATAGCTAGAAACTACTTGGTAAATTTTCCAAATTCAGTTGTTGCCTAAAATTTGCAGTCTTCTCAGTTCTCTGCAATTTATACTTGTTGGATAAAGTCCATGGAGAGGCGTTTGTTCAGAGGTGTAGCAGGGCTCTGAGGCAATTGGGTGGGGACAGTCTTTTATTTGTGCCCCCGACCTCCTCCCCCATGAAAAATGTAGGTTTCCATGGCGTCCAAAGCCCACCCACCCCTTTCTGATCCATACAATTACTAGCAGACTGGAGGGGGATGCACTGACTCACAAGCACTACCCTATTTACACATTCACTGAAACACAAACATTGACTCATACACACACCTATTAACACACAAACACAGAATCACAAACACTTAACTGGCACACTGACACTGACCCATGCAAGCACACACAGACAAACAATCTGATCCATACACATTGACATAGTGATGTGCGCATGCACACACACACACTGGCAGTGTATGTTATTATTTTTGGCATTTATATAGCGCCATCTTATTCCGCAGTGCTTTACAATATGTGAAATTTAGCAATAAATGACACCATTACAAAATGTTACAAGAACAATAGGTTGATGACGACCGTTCTCAATCGAGCTTACAGTCTAGAGGTGTATGTATAGCCCTTCTTAAAGGAGGTGCAATATATAAGTATAATATATACAGTATACTGATAGGTACATTTTGGTGCTATTTGGTTCACAGATCAAATGAGAACTAACCAACAGAGAAGAAAAGAGGAACAGTAAAAAAATAAATCTACATTTAAATATATCACACAAAAAATCAGACAAATCACAGTTTGTTTGAAACCAAATCCACAAGTTGTATCAACTGGATATATTCCAAGACAGCACGGTCACAGACTGATACATTTTCTATTTAAATGTTGTTGTAAAAGCTATGGGGAGAGGACAATGAACTCCTTTAAAATAGATTTTGTTTTTCTAACATAAAATAATACATAATTTTAAAAGGAGCATCCTAATGAGGACCCTCTAAACCCCACAAGTACACACACTTCTGGAGTGGATCACCCCCGTACTCTGATTTCTATACCCATGATCACACTTGAATAGGACTTTCACATACTACCATGGGGCACCTTCAAACCCTAGTGACAAAACAGAAATTCTAAGCATTCTCCCACCCAAAAATAATCTCCCCCCTCTTTAGTGAAGAATTTGTTAGTTCTTATGTATTATGACACTAATGTAACAGTACTTGATATAGTCCCATATGCTTTATTCTAAGCAGCTCTATATTATGCGTATACTATTGATATTCTGTTTAATCTCTGGGTGGAGTAACAGCTCTAAGGCAACCTGGTGCCAGGAGACATCACTAACAGAACCAGGTATAATAAACAGTTCAAACATTCCTGTATTGTCAACCATTTATAAAGGATGGTGCATAACAGCATCAAAGCCACGTTTTGTTAATTTCTTATTAAGTTTAATTTAAATGTATACAACTGGAGAGAAACTACAGCTGATTGTACAGTTTCACGAAGAAGTTCCTAAGGTAAAAGTATAGAATTGCTAAATAATTATTTTGTGTTTTTAAAAATATGGGGGTAGGGGGAGCAATGTACCTGGATATGCTGTTAACTTAAAAGTAATGCTGGGCTTCTGGACTGATAACGTAAGAAAATTCAGTTTAATATAGTGATTATTGGAGACTGTAGCTACAAAGTATATATACAGACTGCCAGGGTAATTTACGAAATCTCATTATATCAGATTAAAAGGGTCCGTCACTTCCCAGGAATTGACATCACTAAATAAAACATTAAACGTTACTTATAATTTGTGTTAACCTTCTTTTCACGAGATGTTTCATTTTCTTTTATATGTATATTTAGCTGAGTTTAAAAAAGTTGTAGGATCTGGATGTATTTCATGTAAATAGAATTGTTACTGCTATCTGACTTACAAAGTAAAATATACCCCCCCCCCACCACCATATGTTAAACTACAGGTCATGTCTATACCCAGCTGTTTTTGATAGGTAAAAGAGGTCCAGCTCTGAATGTTATGTCCAGGAGCTTGTATTGCTTGTGGGCTCTACAGGTGACCTTTAATATACAATTAGTCTTCAAACAGGCTGATCAGGAATTACAACATGTATGCTAAGATCTAACAGCAGGAAGCAAATAGGTGATTGTCCTAATATCTTACACTTTGCACAAAATCCAAGTTTCATCTTTCATCCACTCACATAACCCCGGTCACAAATACATGAGCATTGATAAGTTATGTCCCTACATACTGTTGCTTCAAAATGAAGATTTATTTTACTTTAATTGCTTTATTTACTTTTACAGATTTCTTGGTATAGAATAGAATGTCATCAATGGATACATTGTATATATGTGTATATATATATAAAACAAGTAATCAATACATTTACAGGTTTGTTTTCTATTGTAATGTAGTTTAATTGTACTTTCAGAATTTTCCAGTATATTATTATATAGAAATGGCTGGAACAACATACAACTGAATTAAACTGTCACCCGATCACCTTTATAAAATGTGCAGTTCTGCTCACCTTTCAAATCAATGAAGCCAGAATTAGGATTTACTTACTGGTTGGTGCTACAAACCTAGCATATGATGACCCTGGTACATGGGGTTTACACAACAGACTCCAGCTATACACATTTAAATATAGGATCTTTTGAGGTAGGAAAAGATGTGTACATAACACATTAGCACAATTTGCTTGTCCATTGCTGTCTGGAGCTCACATCCCCCACCCTGGATTGATGATTACCTCCTACATTATTAATAGCTAAAATGTCCTGCTGCTTTCCCCATTGCTGGCTGTAGCTTCTCGAAGGACACAAGAAAAGGTTAATAAATAGTGGCAGTGACTTCAAAAGTACATACAAGTCTGTAAAATACAAATAAATAGCAAAATTAACATTTTTTATATAGCGCCAGCAAATTCCATAGTGCTGTACAATGGAATGTTTCTCAAATTTCGTGCTTCTCCTTATCCCAAAGGAGCCAAAAATACTCAGCAAAACCTAGCTTTGTCATTGTTACCAGTGGCAAACCCAATCCTATTGCACAAATCATTTCTCAGATAGGACTTATGGCATATGTTGTTCAATACTCACCTGTAGTTTTTTTGTTCATAAAATACATTAACCAAACCACTGCACAATGTAATAGAACATGCAATTTTCAGATTTATTTTAGCTTAAGAAATAGCTTATTTTATGTAATATATATATATATATATATATATTTTTTTTTTTTTTATACAAAGTTAAAGGACCACTATAGGCACCCAGACCACTTCAGCTCAATGAAGTGGTCTGGGTGCCAGGTCCCTCTAGTTTTAACTCTGCAACTGAAAACATAGTTTCAGAGAAACTGCTATGTTTCACTGAGGGTTAATCCAGCCGCTAGTGGCTGTCTCATTGACAGCTGCTAGAGGCGCTTCCGCGCTTCTCACTGTGAACATCCCAGTGAGAAGACGCTAGACATCCATAGGAAAGCATTGAGAAATGTTTAGGGGGACCTAATGACGCTATAGTGCAAGGAAAATGAGTTTGTTTTCCTGGCACAATAGTGGTCCTTTAAGTGAGAACCTCTGTAAAGGGGGACTTTTCAAGCAGTAATTAACAGCAGAAAGTGGGAGAACTTGGCCTGTTAATTATATAACGCAATAAGCTGCAAGTCGCTTTGTTGCGAATGACGTTTAGATTTTCCCCTAAAGTACCCTGCATGCATATTAGGGACCAGAGGTACTATCTGAGTTGGAAACTACCAAGAAATAAAAATGCAAGCATGTCTAGATACACCATAATTTAAAGATGAGGCCTGTCGCTATGTAAGAGACCTCCTAATTGCAATATAACATCGATCTGATTATCTTCTACATTGAAAAAAAACTAAACATGAAAGTGATGTATATAAATCTCATAGACATGTATAGTTTCGTTTTATACAGTATGTTTTGCATTTTGTTGCATAATAACCCCTTAAGGACACATGACGGAAATATTCCGTCATGATTCCATTTTATTTGTCACTGAAGTAGTAAGCGATAACACAATCTCTGATTGGAGATAAGTCCTATCTATCTCTTCACTACCGCTTATCTCTGAGCTGCATATCTACTTTACACTTAGATACAATATTGCACTCACCAATGTTAATTTTGGCAGCAAATTTCTATTTATTTTTAGTCATAGTCTTTTGACTGAAAATACATTTATATTTATTTTTTCAATTTTTTTTTTATTATTAATCAAGATAGTACAACAGGATATAACATTTCATAA